GTGTGTGTGGGGGAATTGTTCGGAGTGGTGGTGTTTGTCTTCCCAAGTCACCGTTAAGCATGATGGAGCCCTGCTTTCCTGGGGATGGCTAAAGGCCTGCCTGACAATGGGAAGTAGGGAATTAATGCCTTGTGTTGCTTTGCTTGCACGCATGGCCCTTGCTTTACCTATTAAACTGGCTTTATCTCAATCCACGAGTTTTACTTATTTTTTCCAATTCGCTCCCCCATCCCACTGGAAAGGGGCAAGGGGAGTGAGCAGCTGTGTGGTGTTCAGCTGCCTGCCAGGTTAAACCGCAACAGGCAGGCAGAGAACTCACAAGGACTTTGATAATCTCAGGTTCAATTCCCTGCCCCAGTTAATATTTAATTATTTATTTATAGAATACAAATTGGTTTCAACAGAAAGTCTGAAAAACTCTTGAAAAGGACACGTCTCTGACCTGGAAAGAGCTGTTGAGAGTCACACGCCATCCAAGCAAGTCTCCTCCTCTTTGGGCATCTGTGTTCTCTTTCTTTCCATGGAGAAACCCAAAATGCTCCATGTACTCTGCAGAAACCCCCACATGGGTAAGCACTTGCCCCAGCGTGTTCAACCCACCATTTCTGTCCAGAAGCTAGGAAGTAAGTCTTGGACAGCAGCAAAGTCCATTGTGCGTATGAGCACATGAAGTTATCATGTTGGGCATGGCAAAGCTGCTATCCAGGTGTGAGGTTGTAGCTTCTGCACTTCCTCTCCTGTGACAAGGCAGAAGATGTAAATTTGGAAGCAGGGTTTGCAGTTACTAAGGGAGGGTGTAACAAATACAGAGTTGGTGAGCAGGAACGGTCCAGGGCACTGTGCAGAGCTGCAAGAAGCATGTTTTTCAAATGACTATGAATCTATAAATTGGAGTTAGTTGAAATTGTTCTTCTTGTCACTTGTCACCAGCATGGCCAGTCAAGGATTTGAAACAGCCTTCCTTATCAAATGCTGAGATTAATGATATTAAATAATGGAAACCTTGTTCACTAGCATCCCTGGGCATGGAACTGGGTCAAATTGGTTGATGCCCAAATTAGTGAAAACAGTAGCAAAGCTCCAGAGACCTGCATCTAGCTAATTCTGCTAAGCTTGCTCATTCCCTTTTACAAACCATTCCTTTTTCTTCTTCTTCTTTTTTTTTTTTTTTTTTTTTTTTTTGACACAGAATGTCATTCTGGTGCTGATTTTTCAGCTTTGGTTACAGCAGCTCAATGTTTTGATCAATTGCCAAAGTGGAAACCTGCACAGGGTCTACCTAGATTTTTTTGTTTACTGGGCCTTTCAGTAAAAACACACAATTCTGAAAATTATGCTGGATAAGGAATTCCAGGGGTTTGTATCCCAGAAAGCTAATGTTGCGTCTTTGTAATCCTGATTGAAATTCCCACTCTTCACTTTTTCTGTAAGCTTATCAGCACCAACGTGGTAAAATTCAACATTTTATTTTGCCACTCAGTCAACAATATGGAGCCAAGAAAACATGCAAATTATTTAAAAGCTTTTCTCATCTGTGGTCGTATCAGTTTCTGAGGCACAAGATCACATAAGCTCTGGTGGCAAGCTTGCAAGGTTGTACCCCTTGACACGGTATCAAAGACTGCTTGACATAATGGCAAGAACATGACAGAGGCAATCTAAAATATTCCAAACAAACCCTTCCCTTCCATATCAGTGTAAGTTTTGAGAGTTCCCTTAGCAACGAACACTGAACTTGCATACCTAATTGCTTCTTGCTGGTGATGAGAAGTTGTGTACAAATGCACTGTGGATATGTGGGAGATGGGGGGGCACGTCAACCTTGTTCAGATGCAAGTTCTTCTGGTGATAAGCAGCTAGACAAGGACCTGAGTATTTTTGCCAACAGGAGCACACAGACTCACAAAACAAACTGGCTACTGTCACATCCTCTGCTACTGAAGGTATTTGGAGGGCTTTTGTTCCCCCCACTGCCCCCCAAATGATGTCTCAGACAGGACTTACAAGAGGGGAAAAAAGAGGCCAAAACATCATCTGCACTTGCTACTGTCCCTTACCTTACCTGGCTCAGTTGTGATGATCTTCCTTTTAATTAGAGTTTGTCTTCAAACCCACTGAAGTTGTAATTAATCTTTCGGTTGCCTTCCATGGATGCGAGGCTCAGTCCTTCCCTAAGCTCAGTCAGGAATGGAGAGAGACTACGCTAAAGTAACTTGTGTGAGTAAATCACTTCCCAGGTTGCTCAGATCCTTGGGAGCACTGTGACAAAATACAACCCCAGCCCACAGCCTTCTCTGATTTGTGTCAGGGACTAACCCAGTACTGCTGCACTGGGCTGGTTTTTACAGACTCAGATGATAAGCCTGAGACTCCCGCGACCACTGCCATGAAGTTTAACACAAATAAATGTCCTGTTGTTGTGCCAAAACACGCTGTTCATTGGGGGTGCTGCAGATGATACGTAATGAGTATAATTCCCAGCATTTCAGAGGTAGTGTTGGCTGAGATTAGCAAGACTAACTTAATAAAGCACTATGATAATTGCATATTCACTGGGAAGGGGAAAAATAATCAAATGAAAAAGGACAAAACCAGCAGGGAAAGAAAATTTATTTCCAAGCATCTACGAGAGTGCTACAAACAATAGAGACTAAAACTCAAAGCATTTAAAACTATTTAAAAATGTAGTTGACAATGTCCTTCTTAAAAATTAAACATAAAAATGTAGAAAATGCAGTTATTAATTCTAAAACTTGCTCAATAGTGAAATAAATCCAGATACCATCAGTGAGGATGGAGTCCTACAAATGACTTCTTTTTACTTTATTTCCATTTGTTAATTTGTAAATTGATACTCATTTCAATTTTTAATGTTTATTTAAATTTATAATGGAGAAATGTGCAAATCTAGCAAAATATTCTTTGGATTATAAACAGAGAAAAATCAACAACCAAAGAAATTTGAACCGAGTTAATAATAAACTATAGAATTATATAGAATGCATACAGCTATAATAAAGTGAAATATTACAATAAACATTGTAGAGCAAATCTGCTGATTTAGCAAACTCTGCCTTATAAATCATAGGGATATAATGGGACAAGTGAATATGGTATGAATATAGACCTGAAACATCATTCATAATTTTAGCAAGTTAAATTTTAATCTAACTACATATATGGGGGTCTTCAGAAAAGCAACACACCAACAAATCAGATTTCCTCTCAGATCAAGCAGTTTGGTACCTGACTGCAAGTGAAGGACAGGGTCTGTAAACTGTATGGTAGAAAAATGTATATCTTTTCTATTTATTGCCTCTTCCCATATTGCAGCTGCTGATCTTTGACCCTAAACAGCAAACTATATTAAATTTAGCAGAAGTACAGCTGTACACAGACGTTGAAAATGTTGACGCACGGAACATATTCCAATCCCTTGCTCATTCTGAACTAATATAAAAAAAGTTATAGATCATTTTTCAATTAAAAACATACATTACAAAGAACAACTCTGAAAGCACTCTGTATTTCTGTCATCACAAATTAAAATGTCTTCCTATCAGTAGACGATACTATTCTACTGCAGTAAATGAAAAAAAAAATCAAAAGAAAAAAAAAAGTAAGTGCCAGAATCTTAATTACTACTCAGGTAAGGTAATTGTCAGGTAGAACAGTCTTTAGGGAACTTAGCTAAATTGGGTCAGATTTAAGTCTCTAGAACCCGCCGAAGCTTAGCACAGATAGGGAAATTCACAAGCCTGGAGTAAATTGTAAGTACAGAGTACTCCTGTCCACTTATAAAGTCATTTCTGAAGTCTCTGGAATTTCTAAGATATAAGATAAATGCATATTACATGGGAAATACTGAAAAGTATTACACTTAATTTAATCCAGAAAACACAGTAGTATTATATGAAGATTATTACTGTGTTCTGGGAGCAGCCACAAGCTGTAGATAGAGAGGGTACAAAATGTTCACCAGACGTTACATTTTTTTTAATCTAAAAAACATTTGTAAAATGTACTTGATTTTTAAATAATCACTTAACAAGGCAACAAACCAACTACAAACACATAATAAATAAGGCTATTAAAAGGTCACAATTGTAGTAAATTAGTCAGAACTATAAATGGGACATTAGAAACACTATGTTTTTCCTTATATGCTTAATAACCAGAACAAGAATTAAAAAAGAATCAGTTTATTTCAAAGTCTGCTTCTTATATTGAAGCACATATTAAAGCAACAGTACAATGTTCATAAAATATAAGTGTGATGCTGTAACATTTCTTACATGTCAGAATACTGATATTTGTATGTATACTAAAATAAGAATTTTAAAATTGTACAAATAGATACATTAAAAATGACATAGAAATAGGGCGCCTCCCACTGCAACAAGACAGAGTTTTTATATCTGGCACGTATTAGTTCAAGATGAAAGTATAAGCAAAAAGATTTACAAGAATCAGCAGTAACAAGTTTGATGCTCAAGAGACATAATAATTGTACATTGTACTGTACATACATCATATGGGTTTAAGCTGGCTGAATATTATATATTTCAAGTTTAAAAATGCACTACCATATAGAGTGTCCATAGTTTAAGGCGAAATTACAGCTCAGAACTGTTATCTTTTCTAATTTGTGGAAGCTTCTTTGACATAAAAGATTTAGATGTTCATAATACATAAAAGATTTCCCTTATTTGTAGGTTCACTTTTAGCATTTTCCTTCATTTAAATATTTTGTATTTCTTAAGTGGGTTTTTTCCTCTAGTGAAGTTGGCAGCCAACTTCTATATTTGCCTTTTGTAGGAAAAGGTACTTCACAGTATTTACCACTTTCACGTCCTTTTTTATCAAAGGAATCCTCTCTGTCAAACTTAAATGTTTAAATGAGATTTTTCTTGATTTTTAAAAAAATACCTGCTTACATTTCTTCTGGATTCTTCAGAACATCGGACACAGTTCTTAAGGCCAAATCTTAAACTTTATTGTTAACAATCGTCATCGAAAGTGTCTTTGGAGCCATACAAGTCTGCAAGTTTCTTAAATCGAGGTCCCCAATTTTGTAGATAGTCGTAGTCCAAATCAGAATCTGTTGTTGCTGACTCTAATGAGCTAAGTGAACCAGCCACTGAGCCTCTTCCTTCATAGCCATAGATCTGAATAGAGTCATAAGGAGGAGCAGTTGGATCGTTATCAGCCTCTTGTATTCTGGTGTTGATGAAATCATCAACATCAACACTATTAGGAGCCGGCCGAAGCCCTGGTCTTGGCATATACTGATACTCAGGTTTTATGTCTTTACGAGGAATAAATCCATTGATGCCATCGGGGTTCTGCAAAGTAGCTATGTCAAAAGCTTCAGTATCTTCCTCTCCTCCACCTTCATCATCATAAGTAATAATGTTCTCTCGGACGTCTTCTTCTTCAAAAATAATCAGAGGTTCTTTTTTCTGTCTTTTCAGTGTTACAAACAACACTACAATGACTATAGAAAAAAAAAAAGGCAAGTTAGACTGCACTCTCAAACAGTAGCTGCTTTATAAATAGACTGTTGCATTCATTGAAACCTCAGCTTTTGTGTTGCAGTTCATCGTGTATTTTTGCTAACGTACATTTTTAGCATACCTAGCCAGGAAAAAGCATTGATGTTTGTACACAGAACTGAACAGGCTGATTTGAGGTTTTCTGTTTGGGCTGAATGCCACTGCTCTTACTAATTGCTCATTACTGCAAGACTAATTCAAGAAAAGCATTTGTGGGCCCTCAGTGCTGCATGAATGCTGTGGCACTGCCTTTGGGCAGCCCAATCGCATGCATATCTGCAACGAAACAAAGATGAATCTCTACTCTCTCCTGTATGCCCACAGCTGAAATCTAATTCCACGTTTCATTTCCATGAAAATGGAATTTTTCTTAAGCAACACCTCAAAACACATGCCTTTGTTATGTTCCTTCTCACTTCAAATTTCTATAAAATAACTTTAAAATATACAATAAAAGAAAGACTATAAATTGCTATGGGCAAATTAAAACATTTTCTATAAATATTTTCAAATAATCAGGAAATGCTTTACAGCACTTTCTTAAAAAGAGGTCTTCTGAGCCATTCATTTGTCTTCAACACAAGAGGAGTTAGAGGGATATAGCTGGCAGGAGCCATTAATCCTGGCTGACCTCAATAAGGAACCTGTCATCCAGGGAAGATCACAAAACTTAAAACTGTATGTCATGACCTCCTTTAAACAGTGTCCCTGATTAACTGATACTAGGCCGTAAAAGGACATTCTCTGAGCACACCTAGAAAATTCATTGCTGTTTGCTATTCCACTTATCATATATTGCATTTCAGCCAGGCAGATTAGCATCCTCCTATAAAAATTAAAGCTAAGAAATTAAGATTCATTTATCCATCTTGGAGCTGAAAGCAAGGTTAATGTTTTAACACAAACAAGTGTAGAAGAGTAATAAGAACTTTTTTTACCTAACAAGATCACAATGCAAGCAAGAATGGCAATTAAAGCTCCAGTGCTTAATCCAGCATTGAGGATGTAGGCTTCAGCATTACAGGAGAGCAAGGAGCCGTTGCTGTCACAGCCGCAGACCCGAATGGTGAGGGTGTTGGTGCTGCTCATAGGGGGGAGTCCACCATCACTTATTACAATAGGAAGGAGGTATAAATCTTGCTTTTGGCGACTAAATCCTTCACGTCTAACAAGAACACTTGCTGTATTATCTGTTTAAAGAGAGACAGTCAGCATTATTTTTTTCCACAAAGTCATCATGTTAGTAAATATTGACAAAAATGTATCTTGCTACAATGGCTCTGAATTTTCAGATGCTTTAGCGTTATTTGTACAATAAACCAGTACAATGTATCCTAATGACCCAAGAGCAATTACAGCATTGTGTTTCATTCATACAGTACCACACTCAACTTTAATTATTTTAGGTTGATGAGGGTAACACAAGGAAGACAAAAAATTTCTGTTAGCACCTCCTTTTAGCACCCCACTAACTTTCTGGGAAACTCACAATACTTCACCAACTATGAGAATGACTGGGCCTTGACATTGCTGTTTGAGCTGGTTGTAGTCCCTGTCCAGAATTAAAGCCTCCAGTGGAGGGGAAAAAAACTAAACCCCCCTGATTCATTGTCCTTAGTGTCAGACCTACAGGAGTGGAAGGCAGAAATCGGTACCGAAGTGGCCTGTGTTAATGAGACTTCTGCCAAAATGTAAACCAAACATTTGCTGTGTATTAGCAGATTTGAGCCTCAGTATTGACCTCTTTCAGTAAGAAACAGTATTTTACCAGAACTTGCTTTTCACCCAAACCCCCAAAGCCAGAATTCAAAAAACTTGGTCATATGCACACAGTATGTACGGGCACATTTTGAATTACATGGCTATGAGGAAGAGTTAAAAGTGTCGCTCTAACACTATTGCCAGTTGTTCTCACTGAGCGGTTGCCTGCCATGGGCCTCCTGGTGCAGGGGGTGGAAACCAAGCGGCCATCTCAGCACAGAAGGTCATTTTGGATAGCCCTTCAAGCTCCCTGGGGCAAAAGCATTTGAAAGCGAGGCGCATGACATGAAATGCTGGGACGAGGCAGCCAGCGCTTCCTGCTCCCAGCCACGCTGGACAAAGGTGAGGAAGCACGAACAGCATTTCTTTATTGTGCTCCTTGTTTCTCAGTTCTCAGACTGAACCAAGGTTTATAAAATTGTAAACTTCCTGAGGTAAATAAAATAAAACAATCATATCCGTGGTTTTCAAATCTTCAAAAACTAGTTTAGGATGAGGACTGACTTCACACAACCTTTCCTGTTTGGCCATGTTCTTTATCTTTCACTATATAACAGAAAGAAAAAAGGAAAGAATGGTTCTTTTATCTACTGAGGGAGGGCTATTCACCTCCACCAGTACCCATTTTACTATTGCCTTGGGGTACTGCAGAAGATTAATCATTTTCCTGTTGAAGAGTCAGCATAAATTCCAGAATTTAATAATGCAAATCATAAAACCTCTCTTAATGATCTAATCACTGCTATTTCCATGAAAGTTAGTGAATAAATTATACCAAAAGAGAAGTATTCTTGCCTATATTAACCACCCTTGCATCCTTGTCCTACCCCTCATGCAGGACAAGGTCTGAAACTGTCCCCAGATATGGAAAACACAGGTCAATCTACGGGATGAGAAGGATGTTTGCACTAGGGCCCTGCTTATCCAACTCTCCCACTAGTAACTTTTGCAGATCACACCAGAAAGGACAGAATGTTTTTAGGACTGTCCTACATAGGCTCTGCTTATTACATGTCAAATTAATTCATCTCCCCATACCTACACCTCACTTGCCAGGCCCACCACACCCGATGCCCAGTCTGGTTACCCCAGCGTGACAGAACTGTAGTCTTTCTGATACTGAAGTCTCACAAAAATAACGTCTGGATAGAAAACAGCTTATTAACTTCTCCTTTACAAGATGGTCATATTTGCTAAGGACAGAGAAGCTGATAAAGATCTGATTATTTTTTACTTGTGGTTGTTGGAGGTGCCTTTGTCTCTTTTCAGAGTCTTTCTAAACTCCAAAATGTTTATATGCAACATTTACCCAGCTGGGCTTTGTAGCACAATTCTTTAAAGGACCTTAGTGGTATCAGTGTCTGTGTGATAGGAGTCTTATTTTAGGACTTTAAATTAACTGGCTCATAACAATTTCGTATAAATAGAAATGTAACATCTAATATCTATTAAGCTATCAACTAATACTTGAACTAATATATATTGATATAGAATAAAACTATTCCACAGGGTTCTCTAAAATGCATTTAATAATTAATTTCCTCAATACGAGAACAAAGATCTGCTCTATTAAATGAAAGATCACAATAGCACAGATTATTCTTGTCGCCAAAAATATGAACATTAATAGTGGACTGAGCTACAACTGCCTAGAGCTGCAAAGGCAATTTGGAAGGAAACACAGGCAATATTGTATATTAGTATATTTAATCTGTTGGTTACTTATATTATATTATATTTTTCTTGAATTTTGGCATACATTTTAAATAATATTCCCAGAGATAAGAAAAGGATGGCAAGTTATTCAGTTATTATACAGACTGGCCAATTCCACTGTAGTCAATTACATTACACTAAGGCTGAACTTGATCCAATGGTTGATTTATCTGGCTTAACTTGAAGTGATTTCTAGTTTAATGTAATTTTTTAAAGAGAAAAATCCAATCAACATGCCTGGCTAAAGTTTAAAAAGGACTACCTACCAACCCTAAAAGGTCATTTTTCTAAGTTTTTTTTTCTGTTTATGTTCACTTCTCACATTTAGAAAAAAACATAATATTCATAAGAGGAAAAAACCTCTTTTACCTAGATAAAAGATAACATCTAATCCTAGCTAATATTCTCATCCTTGCTTTTTCATTATTTTCAAGTCCCAGGAGTATAACTATAATCCGGGTATAATGGCATTTTTTAAGCCAAGAAACAGAAGTTAAATGTCAATACCAGCTTAAAACTATTACTTAACACATGTGGGAGCTACTTGACTGACAGTCTTAACCAACACAGTGGGGGCTAACACAGGACAGAAGGAAAAAAATGGCCATCTCAACATCATCCAGAAAAATACACATGCTCTCATTTTTCCAGCTATTATTGTCTGGGGTATCCAATATCCAAAAGTGTTGTAAGTGAAGATTACCGGTGTTCTCCAAGAAATCTTCACAATTAGAAGTTAAAATTGCATTACTTGATGGTGATCTTTATAGTGATCTCCCTGACCTTTGGTTTTCATCGTTTTTTCTCTGGTGATCTTATTGATGGTTTTCCAATTTTTCCTCTACATACAGGCAAATGTAGCTTACTTTTGGGGGCTTGTTAACATATATATTGTGTAGGAAGGTTTCTAGATTAAAGCATCTGACTGCAGCGTGAACATTACCACCTATATCAGAATGTGAGTGCTGATTCTGCAAGAAATCTAAACAATTTCAGGGGTCCAACTGTCTAAAATCGTAGTGGCATGTGGATAATCCATGGCACAATCTGTATTGTTCATATGTTTCAAAATGTCTTGATTAAAAGGTCTGAAATTGAGAGCCAGAGGACATGTTTCTATTAAGAACTGGATTTTAGTCACTGATTTTAGTGGCCTCACAAACTTAATTTCAGTCGTTGCAAAGCACTATCCTGTGCATTTGAGAACATCACTGCACCTCGCTTTTGCCACTGCGGTGTAATTCGTCCTCGCACAGCGTGGTGAAGCAAGGTGGTTGCAATCCCTCCAGCAGCACTGGCTACATGCCAGGCCTCCACACAAGGCGAGTGAGCCCAAGTAAGAGGCATTTCAGTTTAGGACAGAGCATGATTAAAAGAAGGAAACCCATTTGCTAAAAATTCGTCTGTCTGCTGTGTAGTGTCATGAGCCTCTACTGCTCTTTTGAAGCTCTGACTTCAATGGGAATAAAATTGAGCAGAGCCTGGGCAAACACAGTACTGTTTATTTACGTGGTATAATGTAAGTAAACAGTGCAAAAGTAATTCAGTGTTTTATCACAGCATGTGATAAGCCATTATCTCATGTTTTGTATGGAAGATAGTCTCAGCTGAAAAATTTGGTAACACAGTAGGCTATTAATAGGATGTAGAGTGTGATTACGTTTTTTTGGATTACTGCAATATGTGATTACTTTTAGGAGTTGGTAGAAAGAAACTCTATTAAATGATAATTATAGGACTGTATTCACTTTAAAGTTCTGTAATAGACCCAAACATTGGAGTTTTCATTAACTGTTCTCCACAGTTAATAAAGCCATTTTTCTTTAAGACTAGCAATTCCCTCTGAAAGCAGTGGCACGGTATATAGACTACTCAGATGTAATACTGGAAAAAGAAACTTTAAATGATCATGTAAATTATTTGACTTGCAAATGGTAACACACTCTCTCAGAGAAGTGGGGTTTTTTTTGTATGGAAGTACATAGAGTTTTAACTTTTTTACTTTGCTCTCTACCGTAACTTATTTAAAAACCAAACACATAAATAGTTAAATTAACAACATCACTGCACTGAGGATTGTATAAAATGAGGGAAAGACAGGATGAAAATGGATGGATTTCATTAGACTATTCACTTCCTAAATACAAAATTATACAGGAAGATTCAATCCTTAAATACCATCTTATTGAAATAACCTTTTGCAGTATTGACAGGTACAGTCACTGCATTCAACTGACATCATCATTTCCACTACAAAATGTTTTTATCTGGGTTAACTTTGTCATTGAAAAAAAAAAAAAAAAAGAATGAATTTGCTGCATATGGAAATGTAGGATTAATGGAATTGGCTGGAGTCAGGAACCATAATGCCATTTGCCTGCAGCTGTATCAGAGCATCTCAATTCTGACCTATGCTTCCTCTGTTAGATTATAAAATCTAACCCATTCTCAGCTTGATATGGTGACCATAAAATATCTTTTAAAGAGGAACTTGGCCTCAGGGTCTCAAGCAAAGAATACATTTTTATTTACTTCTCTGTAAAAATACATTCATCAATTTTTCAAAAATTGTGTTTTACTACTTTAAAGAGAATATATATCTCTCCCCTCCACTGGATCCTTTATGAATTGCTTATGTATGTACAAGTGTCAAGCACTCGGCAACAGTATTACTTTGATCCTTCAAGAATAACAGAAATTTTGTTTGGGAACTCTGATGATAATTACCCTCACTTCAGATGTGATAAAGTATGCCACAACATAACACTTGAGAGAAAGAAGTTGTTACTGAAATCATGTATCTGGATTATGTTGCCTATTGTACTTCTGGCGATCTAGAAAAAATCCTTTGGATTCATTATTTAAACTAGTTCAACGGAGTTCTACGTTTCAGGAAACAGGCAAATTTCCTTCAAACATGAAAGCTTGCTAATTAAAACCAATTTCTTAGAAGCTGAAGTAGTTTTTTCCCTGTACAGGAAAATAACAAATGAACACTGAATGAGAACATCATATTGATTATCACTAAATAAATAGAATAAATATTTATAATGGCTGAATCTGCCTTTTTTTCTGTTTATACCCCTCTGGCTTCCTCAGACTCCAGCAAGTTAGGCTCCCTGATGCTATTATGTTATATATCAAATAAGTTTTGACGTTCACTTCTGCTTGGTTTTATTTTGCCTACAAATTTCTTACATCTTAACATCACTCTGAATGCAAGGCTATACTATATTTCATTAACAGAAAATTGACAAAGGGATCAGGATACCCATACCCTGAGATACACTCAATCTGGGTGTGTTTCACAACAGAAATCCACGTACGTATTTCCTACAAAAGGTTAACGTGGCAGTGATTTTAGTCCATTAGGAATCTAGCCCATGTCTCTTGTGATCCATAATTTAAAAAACTAGTAAGCAGAGAAAGGTGAACAAGGAGATCTGCCAATTACATTTAGTGAATGTTTTTGTCAATGTTTTTTACCCTCTTCCTGGGAGAGAAAATGACACTGATTTTTTTCATGTAGGGTATTATTACGTCATTTAAAATACACATTCCAGAAAATGAAAGTAAGTTAACAGACATTACATTATTCCAAGAAGATCACTGTATTTCAGCTATATTTTTTCTGCTGTTCTCCCCTAAATCTCTGGAAAACAGACATTCTGTCAAAGTTAATGAAAATGCTGTTGCATGCCATTATGTTGGCCATTAGTTTTCCTTTGTCATTTCTTTGGACACCAGCACAGAGAGAATTTTCACACAAACCTCTGTTGTCTCTGAGTGTAAAATTTGGATTATGAATAATTTCAGGTGGTAAACTGAAGATAAATCTTGGTCCATTGGCCGAGTCATCCTTGTCATCAGCACTAATTGTAATAAATTGCTGTAAAAGAAAAGTACTCTGTAAACAAACAGCTCCTTCTCTGGTTAGATCATGCATAGACAGTGTTCTAAGAAATCCCTTGAATGCAAAGAATTTTGAAACAGCAGAAAACACCCAAATACCTCAACAAATGTATACAATTATAAGCACCGAGCAGCCTCAAAACTAGAACAGGAAATCTTTATTTGCTATTACATTTAACCAACACAGAATTATAAATGAAAAATATACACCTACATATACATTCTTACATCTGAATATGTGCTAATGATAACTTAGCAGACTAAATAAAATTAAGCAGAAAATTCAGCAACTCAGAGGGAGTTAGCGCAATGTAATTTCCAAAATGCTACACTAACTCCAAAAGTGCAGATAGTAAGTAAGAGCATTCTATACGACACTAACCCCTCTTCCTCACAGATAGTTCAGGGGTAAATCTGTAGGCTAAACCCTCCATGCACTGTACTGTGATTCCTCCCATAAGATGCTGAATGCTTTTCTAACATCCAAAACAGGCTCACAGCTGGGAAAGCCGCTCCCAAACAGGCTCATAGCCCATGTGATGGTGGGTACTCACAGTCAACACCAGTCATATCCAGTGCACAAAGCACTGTATATATAACTGTTGATAGCAATTCAAAACAAAAACACAGGAAAGTGCCTTTCTGTGTGCTCTAAGGCATTTTGGCCAAAATTTCAAAATAAACATTCATTTACTACCACTCATTTGAGCTGCCAACACAAAACTGGGCTAACACCCTGAAGCAAGAAACTCACGCACAGGCATACCTGATTGCTTCGAGCATTCTCACAGACAAATGCTTCATAGGCTGCTGCAAATTTTGGAGCATTGTCATTGACATCAATGACTTTAATTGCAACTGGAACTTTGGCTTCCTGGTGTTGTTTGTCTATGGAAGTAAGCAAAATCAAAATGAAACAGAAGCAGGAAAACATCTCAAAACAAACAAAATCCCAGCTGTATCCAGGTAAAAATTAAATAGACTAAAGTATTTCTATTAGGATTTATTGCAGCTTATCAAATTGAGGCAATTAGAAGACTACAGAATTTATATCTCTGATTACAAAGTATCTCAGTGAAATACTTACGGACTTCAACAGCAAAGACAGAGATATTATGCCAAGCAATTTCTTCCCTATCCAAAGCTTTTATTGTCTTGATATTGCCATCATCTGCATTAATACTAAAATATCTTTCAAGGTCAGTGTGACGATCAATTGAATATCTAAAGAAGATTGAAAGTCGGTAATTAGATAAAAGAAGGACTTAGTAGTTTCATGCATCCAAATTTGTTCTATATCATTATTATTTTTAAATAATTGTACACTTATTGTTACCCTTACTATCATTGTCAAAGGGAAGATATGCAGTTTCCTTTAAAAGGAGATTCACCTGGTTGGTTTCTACATTTAGAAAAAATGTTATGTCAGGCTGTTTGTAGTAAGTGAAAATTACTGTTCTTTGAAGTCTCCATATTAAAGCCCAAAAATATTCTTTATTTCTTCTCTTATAAAACATGATAAAAATATCTACTGAGATGTTTATGTTTTCTTCTGTTTCGTATTAATCATGAAGATCTTTTAAGTCTTCTGATCTTTGGATTACGCAGAATGTTAATTGATCATACTAGATTATTAAATATTTTGTACAGCTTTATACAGCTCTGTTTTTCATATCTTTACCTTGCAACTCTTTGAAATGTTAACTATACCCACAAAACAGTGTTTCATAATTTAATTTACACTGAGAACATGACAACAAAAATAAATGAATAGAAGACTACCCAATATAACTGCAGAAAGTAGGTGTGTGTATGTGCTTGTCATTAGCAATTAATGCTTAACAATTACCCAATAGAAACTCTAACCTACTGCAGAGACTTCTATCTTTTGAGAAAAAACATGCTGTGATAACCGCATAGGATATTTTATAGAAAATATGATTTACTAACACAGATGTCCTTAAGCATATTTTAGGTAGACATACCCATGGCGTGCTTTCTTAGTGATACAGGCTTTGAGAAACTAGTAGCTTATAGAACAAGACATAAAAACAACACTGTATGGTTAAAGTTATTAAAATTCTGGGTGAATTTAGAATATTACTATCTTAGATCTATCACACTATCTTAATAACTTGCATAACAATTCTAAAAGCTAATGCTTAGAAATAAAGAGCCTGCTCTAATGAAGCATACCTTATAGCACTGTTTGCAGCATCGGGGTCTTTGGCATGTACTTTTCCAACCACAGTACCAGATGCCGCATTTTCTTGTACTTCAAAAATATAACTTGGTTTTAAAAATACAGGTGGCTCATCAGCATCTTCCACTGATATCTTCACTGTTACTGTGTCCTTAAATGGCCCATTGCTGATAAACTTAGGATCGATATGTACATTGGCTGCCTCTACCTTCAGACTGTAGGACTTTTTGGTTTCAAAATCTAAGAGCTGCAAAACACGTGAAGAAAATGCATTCCACAGTTAGGAAAACTAAAATGTAAAAGCAGTAAACAGTCCCCTAGTATTCAATGACATAAAACAAATGTGAGCATCTGTCAACAAGCTTGGACTGGAATGCATGTATTTAAAAACATAAAGACTCAGATGGAAGGAGCTACATTCTATGTATGGAGCAGCATAAGAACGCACTCAAAATATCATGACAGAGTCCTTGTCTTGCTCTTTTCTTGCTGTATCACTCAGGAAATCACCTTTACTGGGAAAACTAATGTTTTCTTCATGCAGCCTTCCAGATAGCACAAAAGAAAGATGGTTAGGAAAGGGGTTCCCACAAAGTGCCAAGCTTGGTCTATCCCAAGCTGGCAGGCATTCCTTTAGAGAGATGGATATGGCTTGAATTGCTACTGGGTGCGCCATTAGAGAGGACAAAGAGAAGTTAAATTATTTAAGTACTAGGGGAAATATGAAGATGGTTTGCAGGGCTTTAATTTTTGTAGTTCTTGCCATCCATACTTCTCATAGCACTTTACAAAGGGGAGGTGAAATAATGGCCTGTGAGTTAAGTCCTTTTGGGAGCCTGATCAAAGTCACAGCATACCTGTGCTGTCATCCACATGAAACGGCTGCAGTATTGCAGTATCGGTAGCCTCGCAACGATCCTGCCTCTAAATATCTGGGAAGCAGCTGCCAACCACAACTCACAAAGTATGCTAACACCATAGGCTGAACAGTGTGACAGTTTGCCCACATTTTGAAATGCACAAGAAATACACTCCCACCTCTAAAACGGATACAGTAATTGAACAACAGCATCATTTTGACTGGAGGAGACCTCTGGGTCTCTTCCTGAGAGACTGCCCTGATGTGCAGGGCAGCGCTAACTTTGAAGTTAAGTCACCCAGGCCTTCTCCTTTGAGTTTTGACTATGTCCAAGAGAGATGAATAGCTATAAAGATACAAAGGGCAAAATAATAATGCTTAAATAATTAATAAGATTTATGATTTATAATTTGTAATTTAAAATTCATTGAATAACGCTTTTAAAGATCACACTGATGGACTGTATATGAAATCACCTAGGTATTTTGCTGCTTTTCTCATAGCCTGTGACTCCTTCAGAACAGTATTGTGGACAATGCACAGCTGAAGAATTCAAATTATAGGGCATGAGGCTGTTCAGGCCGAACATAAAGCAAGAGCGAATGTCTGCTACTTATCAGCACTAGGCAAAACTTCATTAACAATGAAGCCGATGGCATTGTATTTTACCGTGACTTTTTATTATGAATTCTTTTAGTTTGTGCAATTAATCCACTGTACAGTATTTATGTAACTCTTCTTGATTATTTTCTTCCATTCCAATTCAGCTAATGGGGAAATGGAATATTAAGAGTTAATCACAGCTTTAGAAACAAATTAAGTGAAATTGCATTTACTGATATTTTAACTTAGGTGGTAACCATTAATACCAAATATTCTGTCAGCAACAAAGAATACTACACATTAGTAGGTATTACTCACCTTCTTAAGCTTTACAACACCTTCCTGAGTCTCATAATCTGTTGTAATTTCAAACATATCCATGCCATCTCCATCAATGATGCTGTAAGCTACTAAGCCATTTTCCCCAATGTCTGGATCTTTGGCCTTCACTCTTCCTACTTCCTCTCCTGGGACAGCTGCTTCTGACACTGACATCTGGTACACACCTGGTGGAAGAAAAAATGGTATTTGCCTTAAGTATGCAGTCTGCTCTCCAGTTGTGTATTTACTCATTTAATTCGTAAGTTCCAAATAAACACAGTAATTTTTTACATTTTCAAATCCCCTGAAGGAATGTTATGTTATAAAGAGTTCTGAGAAGCAAGTCGTCTGTGAAATCTTAAAACACACTGCTAATCTATATAAAATTACCTCCTCGCTGATGTTTTACACAACATCTGTGTACCTCTCTGTTCACGGTGGGGTTAAAAAGACAACCAATCTTTGAAGAATGCAGAAATTGTTGTGACATCAAGGTTATCATTCATATCAGAAATGTTATTACAAAGACGGAAGGAAAATTCTCTTTCGTATGACTCATGGTATGACCTTCAACTCTGTAGAGTCCAGAAGCATTTCTACCCATTCATTCTGGAGCCACAAATTATATGCAATGAATTGGATGCATCTGCTGTGCTCACTGAAGAATAAATCTGCTGCTTTCTATGGCTTTAATTTGGAGTGTGAACATATAGTAGTAATGATTATTAAAATTTAACACAACAGAGAATATATACCAATCTGTATGGGATTCCATAGCAAACAAAAATGGCTTTACCTCATCAAACTGCAATAGGAAAAACCAAACATCCTGCAGATGTGTTACCACACAAGTTTTTCCTTGTGTATTCAGGGACACTGGAGGAGAACAATACTGTTCCTGGATAAATCTCTCTCCAACAGTTGTTCTTTAGGCAGCATTGATTACAGGACCTTACAAACCTACTCCTGTTCAGATAACATAACCTGATCCTAAATGTACAAATCTATGTCAGTGTTTTCTGCCACTTCATCAGCATTAATAAATTGGGGAAAAAAAAAAAATCATGAGAAAATAAAATAATCTAATTTATTCCCCCTTCCATAATTGCTCTTTGTTGCTACGCAAGCACCCTAGGAACATCAGGAGACCTACACCAGGCAGGGACTTGGCTCATTACCCATAAAAACAATTGGCACATGTCATCAAAATAGGTCATTAACTGCAGACATGAAGAACCTAAAATTTAAGCACATAACTCATTAATGGTTTGAGGAAACAAAAAAAAAAAAAAAAGAAAAAGGAAAAGAAGAATAAAAATATCAGTCACTTGGATGCTTATATAAACAGGTCAAATCCTGGGTGGGTTTGAGTTACAAAACATTCCAAATTAAGGTTTTAAGTTGGGGGTGAACAATTAAGTAGAGTAACTGCTATTTGGCATTTATGCTAATTTTAAATATTCTCCCAAAACAGTTAGTAAAGTGGCTTAAATTTGTAGAAAAAAAAAAATAATCCATCATTTGATAAAGTTACTCAACAAATACCATGAGCTGGAGCCTCAGGTTATGATTTGGAGTGAAAAGGTGTTTGTGAGGTACATAAAACCTGACATTTTTAGGATTTAATACCTTTCTATTAGAATGGTAAAAAATGCTGACATAGACTATTACATTTAGGGACTGGCTATGTCATTTAAGCTCTTGCATGAGGTCCAAGAAGCTGCCACACTGGAAGAAGAGCTGTTAGAGAGATGGTCACATCCAGGACATATCAGTGTCATAATGGTTGCTCAGAAGAGAAACAGGGTGGGCTGGGATGGTGCATACACTGCACTCCAAAAGAAAAAAAAATACAAACCAACCATGCAGAGATGAGATGCAGAACAGATGTGTGGGTCCATTAACGTACTTCCACCCAACTGTGAAGACTGAATCTGTTAATGTCAGCCCTGATTAATTATATATGTGAAAAATAAATAGCACAGGTATAAAAAATGGCTTTATTTGACCACCAGCAATACACTTCAACCATCAATTAAAAAATGTAATTGTACTAAATTTGGTTTGTATTGCCATGGTAAATATAAGTCTTGACGAGTATCAAGTCTTAACTTTTTTCCTTATGGACATTTACCATTCACTGAGAGTGTTTATAGAAGTAAAGGATGAGGATCAACACTTAAAAGGCTATGCAAAATGAAAAATGATGCTCACTCACTTGAAGGTCTGTCAAAGACCTGAAAGGGCATATTCAGGAGCTGTTAATATATTGTGCGACAATCGATGGCCAAGAAAGCAAGAAACTTCAAGCCTGAGAAATGCAGCTGTAAGAACATAAAGTAGATCTCCTTTCCTTTGGCCATCTTCATTAAAAAAGAAAGTGGATTTGTTCATTGAAAATGACTATCATAACTGTGCTTGCGAATAGCTATGAACTTGGAATACTGAAAGGCATGACATGAGGCCACTTGGAGACTTCTTTCAAACACTGTAAATGTAACTGGTGAGCTTTCTGCTGCATACATGCTATGTAAGTACTGCATACTGCAACTGTCCCAACACAGAAGAAGCTGTTCCTGGGGATTTTTGTTTTAACCTCAACATTTTCTTAAAGTTCTTGTGGTCTGAGACAGCAGTAAACACAGCTTGCTTATCTAAAGTGACTTTTACATCTGCACTATAATTATGAAAATGGGAAAGAAAGTAAAATAGCTTATCCCAGCACTGCTGCAGGACAGGTACATTTTCTAGTATTTATGACTGATTTGGTTTAACATACAAGCCCTCAAGAAATGGGGCTTCTTTCCCCATTAACAGAGAAATCCAGACTATGTCTCCCTGAACATCTCATAGGTATATTCCTAATACAACATGGCCCAGTCTTTTCAAAAATGAAGTACAGGGTCAGGAATCTTTGTAATCTAATCTTGGCCTTAAAAAAAGTCTCACTTCACAAAATAAGCAAGTAATCCAGATAATGAAGCTCTATATGTTACTAGCAAAGATGTGTAAACAATATTTGTCTATTCATGTGTGCTGTGATAATCCATCAGGTACTGCTTTTTGAAGTTTTGAATGTGTCTGATACTATACAAATATGGGTCCTAGTAGTAAATGTGAGTAAGGATTTTGTTGTTACTTACTCTGTGGGAACTTTGGTGGGTTGTCATTGACATCTGTAAGTGTAATTGTCACTTTGGTTGTCCCTGAGAGGCCTCCCATGTGTCCTCCCATATCTTTTGCCTGTATTACAACATGATACTCTTCCTTAGCTTCTCTGTCCATATTCGGAAGGGCAGTTCGGATAATTCCTATAAATACGAAGAAAATATGGCACATACAAATTTTCACAGGTTCATATAATGAAAAATTGGATACTGCATGTTTATCTTGCATTAAAATACAGCAAAATTTGCAGTGATGGTGCAGATTCTGTTTTCCCTGCACTGTGCATCATGCTATGCAAGGAAAATAGCCCAAATATTCAACACAGCTGAATACAAAACAACCCTCGAGAATTACAGTTCAGCACAGAAACTGCCATTTCTATCATACCATATCATACCACAAAAGAAATAGTATCATCTTCCTAGTGTAGTGTACCCAGACGCTCTACCAAATGCCAGGGGACTAACCTGCAACAGAGCCGAGCTAGAATCAAGAGAGAACGAAGGAAGCTTTGCTCAAACACATCAGCAGATATACCCAACTGTACTGCCTCAGTCAATACATTTAGTTCTTCCTTTTAATGTATTCCAGTTATGAGGTCCTACTCAAATAAACTGCTCAATAATACCTGTTTGAGCTTCCACCGAGAAGTACGGCTGACCTTCAAGAATACTGTAAACCAATTTGGCACTGTTCCCATAGGTAGGATCATCAGCATCTGAAGCTGTTACCTGAATAACTGATGTACCTAAAAATGGAAAGCAAACATAGAAGGAATACAGTCAGAAGCAAACTTATCTGTAAGAACTGTGCAGAGATGTTTCCAGTCATACGGCATAATTATTTCTTAACTTTTTTATTTCTGGGTTTGGTAAATGAAAAAAATTACTTGGCAATTTATATACGAGAAAATAGACTCATACTAGCCAAAAAGATTTTTCACTAGCTTTGATGTGGATTAATGTTCTAAACAGTGAAGCTATAAAAGTCAGCAGTCACTCTGTACCATTATGGTTTGTTCCCTCAGTAGTTTAAGCGTTATATTGCTTTTGTCGTTAGACAGCCAAACAATAGCGTTTTCTTGTTACGTTTTCCTCAGTAAGTTTCAGAGAAATCATTCCTGTAGAAATCTCCGAGATAGACCCAAGCTCAAAAAGGAGATGAAAATGTAATACTTAGGTTGTGGTTTAACCCCAGCCAGCAACTAAGCCCCTCACTCACTCCCCCCCCCCCAGCAGCATGGGGGAGAGAATTGGAAGAGTAAAAGTGAGAAAGCTTGTGGGTTGAGATAAAGGCAGCTTAATAGGTAAAGCAAAAGCTGCATGTGCAAGCAAAGCAACACAAGGAATTCATTCCCTGCTTCCCATGGGCAGGCAGGTGCTCAGCCATCTCCAGGAAAAAAGTAGGACTCTATCACACATTACAATGACTTGGGAAGACAAACACCAAATGTCCCCTCCTTCTTTCTTCTCCCCCCAGCTTTATGTGCTGAGCATGATGTCATATGGT